CGGCTGCGTGCTGTGTGTGTCGTCTGCGTGTGTCGGCTGCGTGTGTGGCTGTGTTTTTAGCTGCATATTTACTGCATGTGTTAGCTGCATGTGTTAGCTCTGTGTGTTAGCTGCGTGTGTTAGCTGCGTGTGTTAGCTGCGTGTGTTAGCTGCGTGTGTTAGCTGCGTGTGTTAGCTGTGTGTGTCGGCTGCGTGTGTCGGCTGCGTGTGTCGGCTGCGTGTGTCGGCTGCGTGTGTCGGCTGCGTGTGTTAGCTGCGTGTGTCAGCTGCGTGTGTCGGCTGCGTGTGTCGGCTGTGTGTTTTAGCTGCATATTTACTGCATGTGTTAGCTGCATGTGTTAGCTCTGTGTGTTAGCTGCGTGTGTTAGCTGCGTGTGTTAGCTGCGTGTGTTAGCTGCGTGTGTTAGCTGCGTGTGTTAGCTGCGTGTGTCGGCTGCGTGTGTCGGCTGCGTGTGTCGGCTGCGTGTGTCGGCTGCGTGTGTCGGCTGCGTGTGTCGGCTGCGTGTGTCGGCTGCGTGTGTCGGCTGCGTGTGTCGGCTGCGTGTGTCGGCTGCGTGTGTCGGCTGTGTGTTTTAGCTGCATATTTACTGCATGTGTTAGCTGCATGTGTTAGCTCTGTGTGTTAGCTGCGTGTGTTAGCTGCGTGTGTTAGCTGCGTGTGTTAGCTGCGTGTGTTAGCTGCGTGTGTTAGCTGCGTGTGTTAGCTGCGTGTGTCGGCTGCGTGTGTCGGCTGCGTGTGTCGGCTGCGTGTGTCGGCTGCGTGTGTCGGCTGCGTGTGTCGGCTGCGTGTGTCGGCTGCGTGTGTCAGCTGCGTGTGTTAGCTGCGTGTGTCAGCTGCGTGTGTCGGCTGCGTGTGTCGGCTGTGTGTTTTAGCTGCATATTTACTGCATGTGTTAGCTGCATGTGTTAGCTGCGTGTGTTAGCTGCGTGTGTTAGCTGCGTGTGTTAGCTGCGTGTGTTAGCTGCGTGTGTTAGCTGCGTGTGTCGGCTGCGTGTGTCGGCTGTGTGTGTCGGCTGTGTGTGTCAGCTGCGTGTGTCAGCTGCGTGTGTTAGCTGCGTGTGTCGGCTGCGTGTGTCGGCTGCGTGTGTCGGCTGTGTGTTTTAGCTGCATATTTACTGCATGTGTTAGCTGCATGTGTTAGCTCTGTGTGTTAGCTGCGTGTGTTAGCTGCGTGTGTTAGCTGCGTGTGTTAGCTGCGTGTGTCAGTTGCATGTGTTAGCTGCGTGTGTTGGCTGCATGTGTCAGTTGCGTGTGTCAGTTGCATGTGTCAGTTGCATGTGTCAGCTGCGTGTTAGCTGCGTATGCTGGCTGCGTATGTTAGCTGTGGGTTTTCGCTGCGTGTGTCGGCTGCGTGTGTCGGCTGCGTGTGTCGGCTGCATGTGTTAGCTGCGGGTTTTCGCTGCGTGTGTCGGCTGCGTGTGTCGGCTGCGTGTGTCGACTGCATGTGTTAGCTGCGTGTGATAGCTCTGTGCATTAGCTGCATGTGTGCGACGCTAATGCAACGAGGAGCAGACCGATCACACGAGTAATGGTATTTGAGCGGTGACAAGCACAAGGCTCAAAAACTGATTACAAATCGATCGGCCGCGTGCCTCAGTACAGCGGGGAAATCAGGAAGTGGAGCAGGCATGCGGGTTTGCACTAAAATGCACATGGCGTGATTTGCAGAGAGCCTGAGCATAAATATGGTTGAAAGTGGCGCATGTGTGTGTATGTTTTTGAGTGCATTGATCCAGGAGTCTCCCGTCTGAAGCCGAAGAGTGAGACAGAGGTCCTGATCAGTGTGGGTATGTTTTTAAAGTGCGGTGTTATTTGCATGACTGAGATTTTTCTTTGTAGGATGAATATATTTGTGTCAATTGTATGGAAAACTGTTGTAATGGCCACATATTTTAAAAGAATACATTGTTTTTTTTAATAAAAGAAAGGATTAACATAGAATGAGTGAATCAATAGTGTGTCTGTTTTGTGCATAGACTGTAAATATTAACGGACGTAGAGAGGAAAATGTGAAAAAAGGCATTTGCGCATGCGTTAGCTGCTGCATGAGATCCATTCATTTGACGAGTGCATTCAAAAGTCCACAGCGGCTAAACTAGACTGGTCCAAAAAAATAATCACATACTCCCTTCAGCATTGACAGCCTTTGGAACGCGTTTTGGCCAATTCTGTAAAGCCGTTATCGAGAGCACAAAAGACGCCTTACAAAAGCATTGGGTAATTCTGTTTCCAGGTACACCCCCACCAGCCCCCACTGGTTGATGGCATGGTTTGGAAGTAGTTTTTTCTTTGTAAGACCAAGCTTTTTGTACCACATTTTTTGGAAACTACTAAAATCGCTTGTGTCCGATGTTTTGCCTGAATCTAAGTCGGCCTCAATTTATGCAAAGTCACCATTTTGTCTTAAAGTCTCCCTAAAATCTCAGTGTTGCCTGCACTCAGATCGACCAGACCTCATAAACTGCACGAGTAAAAGAGGTTTAATTAAGGATTACTTGA